ATTCCAGTCATATGTCTACCATATGTTGGCTCCACAGCTTAACCTCCAAAATGCCCTTATTCTCCCCCTGTCTGTGATTTCATATGAGCTGGGATACAAACTAAGCAGTTTAGGCCACCAGCTTTAAAAACTGCTCGGGTGGCCCATTGTGCATTATGTTGGTTTGGGGGAAAAGAACATTTTTTAAAAGGAACTGAGCTGTGAAGGAGTTCTGAGATGTTTTTGCTGAATTGACACTCATAGATCACTGAGCCTCTCAGGTTTATCCTCATCCCTTCAACCTGATTATTACAGATCTGCTTGTCAGTTCGACCAAACTGAATAGCCAGATAAAGGATAACGGTACTATGCCTCTGTGCATGCTATGCTTTCTCCCAACAGCCTTGAACAACTGAATGTCCAAAGCTCAGCCATGATCTGTTTCCTTGGCTCATCACAGCTATACCATCATGGCAGTCAAGAGCAATATATAAAACTAGCCCCAGGTTCTTCTTGATCCAGTCCATCACAGGAGAGTCAAGGATATAGAAAGTAATTCTAAACCCACAGAATCAATGAACCTGGGATCATAGGGATTCAGAGAGGCTGAACTGACAACCAGGGAGCCTGCTTGGGGCTGGCCTAGGCCCTCTGCAATTAGGTTACAGTTGTGTAGCTTGGCTTTCTTATGAGACTCCTCACAGTGAGAGCGGGGAATGTCTCTGACTCTGTTGCCTGCTTTTGGGACCCTTTCCTTCTACTAGACTGCCTTGTCCAGTTTTAATAGAAAAGGATGTACACAGTCTCACTGTAACTTGATATATCATGACTGGTGATATTAACTAGAGGCCTGCCCTTTTCTGAAGAGAAATAGAGGAGGAGTGAATGAGGGGAGGAAAGAGGGGAGGTGGAGGGAAAGACTAGGAGGAGAAGAGGGAGGTAAAACTGCCATCAGGATCTAAAAACAAAAAATAAATAAATAAACAAGGAAGGAAGGAAAGAAGGGAGGAGGGAAGGGGACGGAAGAGTGATTCTAGGAAGAAGATCCAGCTCCTGAAAATCTCCAAAAGCTTTGGGATCTCAATTGATTAACCAAGGATGCTGAAAGGAGCCAGTGTAGGATAAGAGGGCTGGCTAAGAAAGCAAGAAAAAGGTCTTATGTAGTGAACATTAAGAAGAGCGGAGGTGAAGGACAGAATAGATCTTTCGGTCCACAGCCCATTTTAAGTCCTATAGGAGTGAGTTTGGTGGACATGGATCAGGAGGGTAGGAAGGCTAAAGAGAAGTCACATTACCTAATTCAGTACACAGTATTGTTAGATTCTAATCTAGGTTCAGGAGGAAGCCTGAGAGACCGTATAGTATACTTCTTCTTTGTACTTCCTTAATGATCAGAGTTCCTTGAATAGAGGACCCTCAATTAGTCAAGCTGTCATTAGCACTCTTAACAGATGCAAAGCTTTACTTGAAGCTGTTGTTACATAAAAAGCAGTGCGGGTCTTGACAATTCCTTGCATTCAGCCCTCTCCTCCTGTTCATGTTTCCTAGGATTAGGTCTTAGGCGTTTGTGCTGTTTGACAGTGATGAAGTTTATCTGATAAACATAAGGCTTTTTTCATTTAAGAGAGACTCCAGAAGTGAACGAGCATGGGATCAAACTAGTCCCTCTGAATGTGGTTGACAGTTGGGGCAGACTGAGGGGCCACTGACAGTGGCACTGGGTTTTTTTTTTTGGGGGGGGGATCCTATTCTCTTTGGATGTATACCTTGCTCAACCTAGATGTAGTAGGGAGGGCCTTGTACTTTCCACAGGGCAGGGTGCCTTGCCCTCTCTTAGGATTGGAAGGGTGGGGTGGGAAGGTGTGTGGAGGGAGTGGGAGGAGGGGAGGGAGTGGGAATTTGGATTGGTATTTTTTAAAATAATAAAATAAAATAAAAAAGAAAGACTCCAGAGATGAGGATGGAGTGAGTTTAAATCGTATGTATTGACTGCCTTCTGCTGGCTTTGTGGACATAGAAGGCCCTCATACATGCACAGGCATGTGGAAACCTTGAGCCACTATGCATGCCATACACACTTCTGGAGCCTAAATACTCAAATGCATTTATCTGTGTGTTGTTTTTTTAATTAATTCATTAATCTGTGTGTGCATGATCTGTGATGGGGATTTCAGAGGACAACTTCCTGGACTCAGTTTTCCCCCTCCATCTTTACATGGGTTCCAAAGCTCAAGTCAGCAGGCATGCCATCAAGTGCTCTAAGCCCCTGAGCCATCTCACAAGCTCTGGACATTACGTTTGTTTAGAGTGAGACACTCAGGTGCTGCAGCCCCTCATGTGGACATTGTGATGCTCGGGTAGAGTATGTGCTTCCTGCGGCACTTGCCACACCTACTCCTGTCACTCATATGTACTCTGAGCTGTTAGGCTGTCCTTTGGGAGGTGCATAAAAGACAACAGGCATGCTCGTGTCCACCCAAACTTCTTATTCATCCAAGTGTGTCATGCACTCACATGCATTCCTTCCTTATTTGCACAAGTGAGCATCCAGAGGTTCAGAGAAAATCGAGGACTATCTGCCTCCTCGATGATGCTACACATTCTTGGGAGGAGTTCCTTCACAGCCTTTGTTCACCTTAATGAAATAGTCCTGGCTTTGTATCTTACCCAAATCATGCTTCCTAATCCAGTGTCCTTGGATGGATAGTCTAACCATCCAAGTAGTTGAAGCCTGTGCAACTTTGTTTACGTAAAGCATGTGTTTTAAATTATGTTTAAAGGTGAGGGGTTTGAGATCATGATAGGGAAAACCACAGAGACAGCTGACCCAAGTTAATGGGAGCTCAGACTCTGGACCGACAGCTGGGAAACCTGCATTGGACCATAATAGGCCCTCTGAATGTGGGTGAATGTTATATGACTTGATCTGTTGGGGGGCTGGCAATGGGACCAGAACTGATCCTGGGTGCATGAACTGGCTTTTTGGAGCCCATTCCCTATGGTGGAATACCTTGTTCAGCCTTGATTTGGAGGGTAGGGGCTTGGTCCTGTCTCTACTTGGTGTGCCAGACTTCATTGACTCCCAGGGGAGGTCTTACCCCCTCTGAGGAATCGATTGGAGGGTAAGATGGGGGGAGGTGGAGAGACAGGAGAAGGGGAGGAAGGAGGGAGTGGGGTTGGTATGTAAAACAAAAAAAAAGCTTAAATAAAAAAGAAAAACAATGGGTACACTTTACAATCACCTCATTGATGCACATAATTTTTTTCATAATCTGGACAATTGGTCTTCTGTCTTAGATCATACAACTCAGAATGCAATAAAATCCTTCTAGAAGATGTTTCCTCAAGAGTAGGGTACACTGAGCATTCCAAGAATAAGGACTTTTTTTTTTTATCCAATTCACAAACTTTTGAGTAACTTTCACAAAAAGAATCTGTATACTTGGCATAAGGTTGCTATTCAATAGAGGCTGTCGTCTCTGTGCACACACTGGCACCTCCTTATAGTCCTAGTTGAAGGGGGTGGTATGAGATTACTTGGCAGACTCTCCTGGGAGTCCCTCTTTATCCAGATTAGAGTTTCGGCATCCATCCAGATCTGGCTGCATGCTTGCTTTCAACTTTAATTCAATTCACTTTGATTCATTTCAACAAATGTTCATTGATCACTTGCTTAGAGTCAGACATGCTCGTGGACACTGTGTGTGTGTGTGTGTGTGTGTGTGTGTGTGTGTGTGTGTGTGTGTAACAGGGGAGAGGATAGAATGATTCAGAGATAACTAAGTCACACTTTTGTCAAGGATACAATGGGGCCAGCAAGGCGCATGCCCCATCTTATGCTTTTGGAAAAATCAAGCAGACAATGATGAATGAGTCGGAATTAACTCATTCTGGACGGGCTTCACGGAGTAAATATAAGAAAGACATCAGTATTATTGGAAGTCTTTTATAGGCAGAGATGGTTAGCATTGGTGGGTGTTTCAAATAGAGGAAGGTCAAGCTGGTGATGGAGAGAGTCAGTCGTAGGATGCTACGTCGTATCTGGAGCTGTTGGGATTAGTGGGAACCATGAGATGATCACCGAAAGGAAAGCGGAGACCGAGCATAAAACACCTCAACTGTCAGTATGAGGTGCTTAGGCTGTATAATTTGGACAAAAGAAAAACTATAAAAGTGTTGAAGAGAGATGGTATTATATGACTGGAAGCAAAATGGATAGATAGACAGAATGATCAAATGAATTGAGGGCAAAAGGAAATCAGCTAAGCCTAGGTGGAAGGTGGGAAAATGCCTAGGCATCAGCAATGGGAAGAAGTAAAGGAGCTTGGGGCGAGCATGACACTGCTGAGTCCCAGGCCACAGAGTTTGTGGGTTGAGGCGAAGAGTGAGCTCTATGGAGGTGAGACCGGAGAATGTGCCGGATTAGGATCTGGGCACCTATCAGATAGTAATAGTATCCTTCAAGAGGGTAAACCTCCTGCAAGGGGCAGCAGGTTTATACAGATTGCTGCAGAGATGGATTTTGGATGTCTTGTGTGAACTAGTATTGATAGTTTTGCTTAGAGATAAATTTCTACAAAGCAGTGAGTTTGAAAGTCTGAAAGTAGAATAAGTTTTTGGTTTGGTTTGGTTTGGGTTTTTTTAGTTTTTTTTTTATATTTATTGAGCTCTACATTTTTCTCTGCTCCCCTTCTTGCCTCTCCCCTCCCCTTTCAGCCCTCCCCCAAGGTCCCCATGCTCCCAATTTACTCAGGAGATCTTGTCTTTTTTTACTTTCTACTTCCCATGTAAATTAGATCTATGTAAGACTCTCTTAGTGTCCTCATTGTTGTCTATGTTCTCTGGGATTGTGGTTTGTAGGCTGGCTTTATTTTCTTTATGTGTAAAACCCACCTATGAGTGAGTACAACAAAGAGAAGTGATATCAGTCTGTTCACAGGGGAGCTCTACAAACTTAGTGAATGCTAGTGAGCTTATCTGTCTGCAGAGTGACTCATCTACCTCTCACCTTTCTCTTCTAGTGTTTACCAGCTGGTGGTCAAGGAGGAGCGACTTCAGAAATCCCGGAGAGCAGCTGACATAATCGAGTGTTTCTCTGTACCCGTGAGCTACCGGAACGCCTCTAACCTCGATTCTCTCCACTACTTTGCTGCGGAGTTGAAGCCCTCCAACTTGCCTGTCACCCAGCCATTTACAGTAGGAGACAACAAGACGTACAATGGCTACTGGAACCCTCCCCTCTCCCCATTGAAGAGCTACAGCATCTACTTCCAGGCACTCAGCAAAGCAAATGGAGTAAGTAGGTCATTACTTGCTTGGTTTAGACTCCCCTTCTCAAGTGTGAAGTCTGTGAGACTTTACAGCAGGGTTTAATAATAAACTGAGGCCCGTGAGCCAAGTTCAGCCCTCATGTCTTTTAAGATTTGAAATAAGGTTGGATTTTTTATTGCTTTATTTGTTTTTGTTCAATTTTTGGCTTTGGTTTTATTTTTAGTGCCTCTTTCCCTCTTAGTTTGCATACCACTGATGGCTATGTTGATGCTTAAGAGTGAAGTTGGGGAGCTGCAGTAGACACTGTATACAGATTACAAGGTCTAAAACATTTATTTGTATGGCTTCTATGGAAACTGTAAACTTGTATTAGAGTATGGGAAAGTCGCTACATTGAGGAAATCATGAAGCTTGAGCTGTGATTCCTTTATCTGTAATACTGACGCCTGTCAGTGTCTGGGTGCAGAAGGAACGTGTTCCAGTTCACCTTTGGAATTACTCCTCTTATCATGGCCATGAGTCACATTCAAAACATTTTCTATCTTACAAACAAAGTGACTGTTTTTGTATCAAGTGTTCCCTTGGCCTGGTAGCTGTATCAATCAACATCACACATTCACAAGGCTGGAAAAATCGTAAAGGCCATCCATCACCTTTCCATTCATCCCGCACCTACCCTTGCATACAATACGATTCAGTTACCATTACCACGTTACAGTCAGAATTTGTCAGTGCTTAGCTGTGAATGCCTGCAGTGGCAGAGAACTTACTTTGCTGATTTGGGAGTGGCAAAGTGGGGACTGCGACTCTAAGAAAGCTTTGTAATGTAATTATTTAATATTTATCTGATGGTAGCTTCTCAGTGTTCTCCAGTTATACATTTTAGGGATTCATAGAGCCAATACCTGTAGGGCATTTGTTTCTATTGCATTCAATCTTTCTCGCCACCCACTTACTCACTCTTGAATCATACCCATCTGCTCACCTTGTCTGCTAATACTTCTTATAAGTTAGTATTTTCCCATTCAGGGCTTTCATGGAAATGTTCCAGGTTTTCATAATTTATTTGTAAAGCCTATGATGGCCACTATCATGTGCAAATCCTCCTGGTTCATGTTATGGTTGGTGTGTGCCCTCCAAGAGATTATAGATATATGGGGACGCCTGAAGTACGCTACATCATGTACTCTCTCTGCAGAAGTGACAGTTCACTGCAGATAGGGACTGAGACCAAAACAAGATTGGTGGCATGTACACAGAACAGTTTAGTCTGTCAGTGGCAATCACTGCCTAGGGAGAAAAAAAAAAAAACCTGGACTGAGGAACTCATTAACATTTAGAGTGTCCGCATGCCCATTTAAATTCCACTTTGATATTTCAGTTCTGCATTTATTACTGGTTCAAGCAACACTCCTCACTGAGAGTGTAAAGCTACAAAGAGAAGCTGCCAGACTGCCTTCTACCTGTCCATCTGGTCCCCACTCTGCACGAAGGACTCTGATGTATTGAGCATGAAGACATAAATATGGACCAAAGCATCTGGGGGCCCATCTTGCTTTCAGATCTCGGATAAGATGTGGCTTTCTTGGTTCTCAGCACATAGGGAGAAATAGGCTTGTTTCCTGTCTGCTGATGAGGGTGAGATGCCTGTGCCCCAGTCTCATCTTACCATTCCCTACTCACAGACTGCTCAGAGAGCTAGCACGCCCCAAGACGACTGGAGACTAACTATCCCAGGTGTTTTTCTAACCCAAGAATGATTGGCTGTGAAAGGGATATCAGGTGCCACGGAACATCCAGTGGATGGTTTTCTCCCCAAATATTACAGCATAGCCCCTGCTCTGGGAGACACAGGGTTTTGATACATAGAGAAACCAAGTCAGGTGCTCAAGCTACCTTTGCCCTAGAGGCAGTTCCAAGAGGATGAAGGCCATGAATTACCTGTGCCTTCCATTCCACATCATCTGCTCTACCATTGTGGAATTTTAATTTCTAGCCAAGATATATAGCAGGAGGAGAATTGGATGAATACTTATACAAGATTGTCTGAGGGTGCAGTTTGACTCATAAAAAAAACAGAGAAAGGAAAAGTGGTGACAGGTGGGCACTCAGACTGAATTTTTTCTGGCAAAAAAAATGTACACATTGCTTAAAATTACTGTCTTTCATATTAAGTTGTATGGGAAAAAATGAGCAAAAAGGTCATAGGAGAATGACAGCTATTCCCACTCTAACAAACCTCTGTTTGGCTCCTTTCCTACTTTGTGTATAGTAGAGGCCAGGAAACAATGCCATTAAACCAGGAGGGCTTTGGAGAGTGATCAACCACAACCTCCAACCAGCCACATTCATTGTTCTTGAGCAGATACATCAGAAGGACTGCTCCTTGGTACACAGAGCCACCTCCATGCCCTGCTTCTAATAAATCATTCAAAGAACAATTGACTAGCAATGAATCAAAACAAAGAAACCACGAATAGAGAAGGATGGAATAAAAGACCCACAATGAGCAGGAAACTAATTAGGCACCGCATTAATACTAAATAATCCTTCCAAATACTCCACAAAACAGAAGGTTAATGTGAAAAAGCAATTACTTAAGGAGGAGATGCACAATGTAAAAATTAACAATTGTGATTTGGGCCCAAAATTCACTGTAATGTTAGCAAGAAACTAGAAAAGGGTCGGAGACTGAAATATGCGAGCAAAACTCTAATTTTCTCAGGTAAGACAAAAGCAAATAAATAACCCCTGTTTTACTCTGGATGCTGGCAAGTTTTGAAGCATACAGATGGCCTTCCGATAATAGAAAATAGAATAATGACAAAATATAAAGAAGCACAGGAAAGACAAAAGAAATTATAAAGAAACATGAAAATCAACAACTTGGATGGGAGAAGAAAACAGACTTCATGATGTGAAGAGAAAGTAACGTTATTCCTTCGTAAAAGGAGACAATGGCTTTGATGTAGTAAAAACAGAACTCAGTAAACCTGCATCATTGCAATATTTAAAGCAAAGGATGTGCCAACGCCCTTTGAAACTAAAGCAAATTGGGAGGGGGCATGAACAGGCACTTATTTCAGAATGGGTGTGGGCCAGGTTGAATAATTTACTACCAGTCAATTTTATTCATCAGTATCTTACCTGCTAGCTTTGTTCAGGACAAGGCGAGGGAATTTAGAATCCAAGAATCTCCATTCTGTGGATATTAGGATAGTTTATCAGCTTAGCAGATGATGGCAAATTCAGCCTTTGAAGTCAGACTGCCTGCATACAAAACCCTGGTGGCTATATGACTTTAATTAAGCTATTAAACACATTAGATAAGGTTCATTAATTAAAAGAACATCTATCAAGCACACACTATTTGTCACAAAGGCAGAAGAAAAAGTTCTGGGACACTGCAGTGAGCAGCCAGAATACTGCCTACATGATGTTTACATTCTAATGAGGAAGAAGCCAGAATAAAGAAGGGAAATGACGTATCAGATGATGAATTACTGGTCTTAGTAGTGGGAGTTCATTCATCAAGTGCTGACTGATGATAGAGACAGTCTGTAAGTCTTCTAGGGGTTATGAGTGGGGTATTCTTTCCAGAACCAGGCATGCTATAGAAACTTTGAGCATGACAATGCGTAAGAAGGTTTTCAGAGCCCCTTCGGGTGTTTGCACAAAATTTGAGTTATCCTCTAGTACTTCAGTTGAAATTTTGCCTGATTAGTGAGCTTGTGTTTGCCTGCTGATGTGTTCTTAATAATAAAAGGCATTTAAGGTTACATCATTCTAGTCTGGATTCCCATTTGTTGAGGATAACAACAAATTGTGGTTCTCAGGCATTTCATCGTGGAATGGCAGAGTGCCTAGGTTTCTTCTCAGTCAATCCACACTATAACCATATGTTTTAGATATAGCTATATTGACACTTTGGACTTGGATAGAGTTTGAAATGTCATATAATCTAGACCAGAGGAAGAGAAGATGGAGGAAATATCCAATGAAGCAATCTCCGCAGGGCGTCCCCGTGATTACTGCAATTCTATGGAATGAAAGTTGGTTGATTCCTTCATGGCGCAAGTAAAATGATTAAAACTTTTTTCTTACATAAAGACCAGTTATTTCTTCCTACCTCTTATCTCCTAGTCTCTTTGATTGCCTTGAACAAATTAAATCTTTTTCTATCAACCTTTCAGAGGAAGTAATGAGTATTACCCAGTACCTGCCCTTGGCCTTGGTATGTGACTTGCAGCTCCTCTGATCCTTCCATGTCTTTCCTCACAGTTTCTCTATTGTCTGATAGACTTCTTGCTTCCAAAGACTTCTTTTAAAATAAAAAATAAAAAAGGTTTCCCAAACCAATGCAATGTTTCAATATATTTTAACCACTTCTAACTTGAACATTTCTATGAAACTATCAAATATTTCAAGATATACTTCTCACTTTGAAGCCTTGATACAGGCCGAATCTCTCTGTTACTCTCTGTACAACCTCTTAATTTTAGGCTTAAGTTTCAATCTCCAGTCCTCTGCAAACTGCTCAGTCGGGTCACCTAGAAGCCCACATTAGTATTAACAGGTTAGCATCTTAATTTCTTTCCTAACACTGGATCCTTTAAATTTACATACATTGGTGTCTGTTGCATGCCTTTCCCAGTATACTGAGAGCACACAGAGTGAAGAACTCTTCTCAGCTCTTGGTCCCATGCTGCTACCTTTTCTGTCTTATTCAGTTGTTCTAATGTTTGGGATTTTGTTTGGATTTTTTGTACTGTGTTTCCCATGCTGTGTTCAATCTTAAACCTAGAGTAGGCACTCCAAGACATTTAATTAGTTTATTAGCTAATACAGTATGAATTATTTCTTAATGTAAGTGAGTCTCAGTTTCCTCATTATTACTCATTTATGAGTTGAATTGGCAATTCATGCTTAATAGTCATTTCATGGGATGCCAAAGGAAAAAAAGATCTTGAAAAGTTAAAGACATTTAAGGTTATGTTACCATAGTCTGAATTTCCATTTGTCGT